CCTACATGCAGGCAATACACTCATACACATAAGATAAAAATAATAAAATTTTTTTTAAAAAGATGAAGGCTGGGCATGGTGGCACACGCCTTTAATCCCAGCACTTGGGAGGCAGAGGCAGGAGGATCTTTGTGAGTTCAAGGCCAGCCTGGTCTACATAGTGAGTTCCAAGCCAACTGGGGCTACAGGGAGACCATGTCTAAAAAAGATTTAAAAAAAAAAAAAAAAAAAAAAAAGATGGAAGACAAGCACTGAGCAAAATGCCCTCTCTAACATCTTCAGGATCTTTAGGATTTCAAGTATTCCCTGACACACATGATGTTCAGAATTATGTCTGAAAGCTTCTTATTTGAGGGTAGTAATTGCTACAAAAGGGTATTTTCTGTGTTTCACATTAATTTTGACTTCTAAAGTCCTACTAAGGACATTTTTAATGTATTTACCTTTCTTAAAATATTTTATTATTTTTATTTTATGTGTATGTGAGTGCACCCATGACATGCAATGCCCACAGAGGTCAGAAGAGGGTGTTGGATTCCCTGGAACTAGAGTCATGACAATTGTTAGCTGCCATATGGGTACAGGGAACTGAACCTGGGTCCTCTGCAAGAGGCCTGTTGAGCCATCTCTCTAGCTCCTACCTTTCTTTTATTTAAAATTTATTTATTTTTATTTTATGTGTATGAGTGATTTGCCTGCATGTAAGTGCACCACATACATGCAATGTCACTAGAGACCAGAAAAAATTGACAGATCCTCTGGAACTGGAGTTACTGATGCTTGTTAGCTATCCTGTAGGTACTGGGAATTGAACCTGGATCCTCTACAAGAGCAGCCACTGCTTTTAACTACTAAGCCATGTCTCCAGTCCCTCTTATTTATTTTTTAAATTTTATGAGTGTTTTGCTTGCATGTAAAAATGGAGTGCCTGTGGAAGCCAGAGAAGGGTGTCAATCCTCTGCAACTGGAGTTACAGACAATAGTGAGCCACCATGTGGGTGCTGGGAACTGAACCCAGGTCCTCTACAACAGCATCAAGTGCTCTTAACCACTGAGCAATCCTCTCCAGCCCACCCTCACCCTCACCCTCCTCTCCTTTTTTAAAGACAAGGTTTCATGTATTACCTATGTAGTCAAAGCTAATCTTGAGTTGATTCTGTTTGCCCCAGCTCCTGAGTTCTAGGATTATAGGCCTGTGCCACCACACCTGGCATTTAAAAAAAATATATTTTATTTATTTTATGTGTATGAGTGTATTGCCTGCATGTATGTGAGTGCACCCGTGTTGTGGAATGCTGCAGAGGTCAGAAGAGGGTTTTCAATTCCCCTGGAACTGGAGTTAAGGATGGTTCATAGCTGCCATGTGGATGCTGGGAATCGAACCTGGGTCCTCTGCAAGAGCAGTCAGTGCTCTTAATTGTTGAGCCATCTCTCCAGCCCCCTACACCTGGCATTTTTATTTACTTTTTTAGGAGGGGGTCTTTTTGAGGCAGGGTCTCCCTGTAACTCCAGCTGCCTTGAACTCACTCTGTAGACCAGGCTGGCCTCAACGCAGAGGATCTGCCTGTCTTTGCCTCCCCAGTGCTGGGATTAAAGGCGTGTGCCACCACGCCTGGCTACCTAGCATTTTTATTTACTTTTTAGACAGAGTCTCACTTTGTAGCCCTGGCTGGCCTCAAACTCACAGAGATCCACCTGCTGCTCCCTTTGACAGCTGAGATTAAAGGCATGCACCACCATACCGGGCATGCCCAGGCTTTAAAAAAAACAAAACAAAAAGAACAACAACAAACAGGGTCTCCAGATTCAGCTATGCTAGGTTGAGGCACCACATCCCACCCAAATGGACTTTATTTTTTTAATTCTATGCTTATGAGTGTTATGTCTCATATGTACATGTATACACCCATGTCATGCAGTGCCTGCAGAGGCCAGAATAGGGTGTTGGATCCCCTGGATCTGGAGTTATGAATAGTTTTTAGCTGCCATGTAGGTGCTAGGATTTGAACCCAGGTCTTCTGCAAAAGAAGCCAGTGCTCTTAACCACTGAGCCATCTCTCCAGTCCCTCAGATGAACTTTTTGTTTTGAGACAGTCTCATGTAGCCCAGGCTAGCTCAGGCTTACCTGGACTCTGAGGGTAACCTTAAATTTCTGATCCTCTTGCTTCCTAAGCATTGGGATTACAAGTGTGTGTCAACCTGCTGAGTTTTCAGGTGGACACTTTTTAAAAATTGCATTTACTTGGGGGGAGGGGCACAGATCATGTGTGTGTGGCCAGAGGACAATTTTTGGGAGTCAGTTCTCTCCTACCATGCTCGATCCTGGGGATCAAACTCATGTGGTCAGGCTTGGCAATAAACACCTTTACTCACTGAGCAAACTTGTCGGCTCTTATTACAGTGTTTATTTTTGGGCTGCAGAGATGCTCAGTCCTTAAGAATACTTGCTGTTCTTCCAGAGGACCCAGGTTGAATTCCCAGCACCCACAAGTGGCTAACAACCATTGGTAACTCTAGCTCCAGGGGATTAGACACCCTCTTCTGGCCTCTGTGGATCTTGCATGCACACGCACATGGTGTACTTACATACGTGCTTGCAAACATTCATACACATAAAGTTTCTTAAGAAACACCTGGCATGACCGGGTGTGGTGGCGCACGCCTTTGATCCCAGCACTTGGGAGGCAGAGGCAGGCGGATCTCTCTGAATTCGAGGCTAGCCTGGTCTACATAGTGAGTTCCAGGCCAGCTGGGGCTACAGGGAGACCCTGCCTCAAAAAAAAAAAGACCAAAAAAATATATATATGCTAGACACTGTGGTACATGTCGGTCAGTTCAGTTACTTGGAAAGCTAAGGCAGGAAAAGTTTAAGGCCAGCCTGGCTGGGCAACTCACAAGATTCTGTTTCAAAACACTTTTGGGGGCTAGAGAGATGGCTGGGCAGTTAAGAGCACTGGCTGCTCCTGCAGAGGACGAGGGTTCAGTTCCCAACACCTGCTAATAATAATAAATAATATATTCAATTAAAAAGTAAAATAAAAAAAGGTTATTTTAAAAAACAATATTTTGGGGCATGATGTGTGCCATGGACACATATGCAAGCAAGAGGACAACTTTGGGAGTTCATTCTCTCCTACCATGTGGGTCCTTGGGGATCCAACTCAGGTCCTCAGGATTGGCAGCTGAGCCATCTCACTGGCCCCAGATAGACACTTTTTTAAACAAAAATTTCAAATGTATTTTAATTTAATTTTTGGAAAGTGGTACCTTTATTAAAGAGAGCAGACTGGGTACCTGAAAGCCAGCTCCATGCCTTGGCCTGTCAGCAAGAGCAGGATTCACATTTGCTGGAGGGGACTCCCTCATTCACAGTTTAATTTAGCATTGTCTATTCATCTGGCAACATTTTTACATTTGACTGTTGGAGACACTGATTTACCTGAACTGATGTTGGATATACTGCTTTACCTAAACTCTGCTGAAAGCATGCTTGACCACATCCAATGACATCTTTGGTCAAGAATGTCTACACGTCCAAAGCTGGTAGATGTGTGTTGAAGCAGAACAAGGAATGCAGTGCCCACACGCCCACAGGTCACAATGCCCTGTTATGCTTAGCTAGTTTTCTTTTTCTTTTTTTCAGTCTTTGAGACAGGGTCTCCCTGTAGCACCAGCTGGCCTGGAACTCACTATGTAGACCAGGCTGGCCTTGAACTCACAGCAATCTGCCTACCTCTGCCTCCTGAGTGCTGGGACTAAAGGCATGCACTACCACACTCTGCTTTAGCTAGTTTTCATTGTAGTAAACAGGTCCTTTATTTCAAAATAACATCCCTAGAAGTCTCGAGGATGTTTTCAGAAGTCTGACTGCACATTGTTTGTGCTTATGCAAGTTAATACAATAAATACACAGTGGTACGAGAGCTTGTGTCTTCTGTTCCCTCAGCTGAACGTCTCCTGCTTCCCCACTCCTGAGATTTTTTTTTTGGTGTTTTTGAGACAGGGTCTCCCTGTAGCCCCAGCTGTCCTGGAGTCACTGTGTAGACCAGGCTGGCCTTGAACTCACAGAGATCCGCTTGCCTCTGCCTCCGGAGCGCTGGGATTAAAAGTGAGTGCCACCACGCCCGACTGGGCGCAAACCTACAACCCTGGGATTAAGAGTTCCATGGTCTACTGACTGAGCTAGCTGGGCAGCTCACTCCTGAGATTTTTAAAAATATTTTTTATTGCTGGGCGTGGTGGTGCACGCTTTTAATCCCAGCACTTGGGAGGCAGAAGCAGGCAGATCTCTGTGAGTTCGAGGCCAGCCTGGTCTACAATAAAAAATATTTTTAAAAATCTCAGGAGTGAGCTGCCTAGCTAGTAAGTTCCAAGACAGCTGGAGCTACAAGGAGACCCTGTCTCAAAAAGACCCCCAAATTTTTTTTTAATTATTTTTATTTTATATGTATGAGTATATTGCCTGCATGTAAGTGCACCTCTGTCATGAAATGCTCACAGAGGTTAGAAGAGGGAGTCAGATTCCGTAGAACTGAAGTTATAGATGGTTGTTAGGTCCCATGTGGGTGCTGGGAACCAAACCCGGGTCCTCTGCAAGAGCAGCCAGTGCTTTTAATCGCGGAGCCATCTTTCCAGCCTCCACTCCTGAGATTCTAATTAAGTGTTCTGTTTATCCCGCGTGCTGAGCCTTCTCTCTTTAAAGATTCTCTTTACCCCTGCCATGCTGGGCATAGCATTTTACATTTTTATTTGTGTGTGGAAATGTGTGTGCCATAGTGTGCTTGTAGAGGTCAGAGGATGACTTTTGGGAGTTAGTTCTGTCCTTCCACCATGTGGGTTCCAAGGATCAAACTTAAGTTCTCAGGCTTGGATGAAGGTGCCTTTACCCACTGAGCCATCTCACTGGCCCATAGATGGCTACTTTTGGTGAGAATTTCCCAATTCAATTTCTCTTACTATGCAGTGCCCACCCCAATGCACTCCCCTGATTAGTTTCTTACCTCTTCAAGTTTACTTCTGCCTCCATCATGGACTCCTTTTTTGAATGACAAGCTGTGAAGTTTCTCCAAGTTTAACCCTGGGAACTCTGATCTTTCTGCTGTCTTCCTCCAAGATCTTACTCGCTCACATGGCTAAATACAATTTCAAGAGAATGATTATCACCAGTTATCTTACAAAACCATTTAAAAAAGGTTTTCTTTTTTTTTTTTTTTTTTTTTTTAATGTGTGAGTGTATTGCCTGCATGTATGTAAGTGCAACCATGTTGTACAATGCCCACAGAGGTCAGAAGAGGGTATGAGTCAGGTCCCCTGGAATTGGAGTTAGGGATAGTTATGTGGGTGCTGGGAGTCAAGCCTGGGTCCTCTGCAAGAGCAGCCAGTGCTCTTAACCACTGAGCCATCTCTCCAGTCTCTTTTTGTTTTTGAAATAGTCTCATATACCCAGGCTGGCTTCAAATTCCTAATTCTCCTGCCTTAGTCTCCTGGTACTGGGATT